CCTCTCTCTCTCTCTCTCTTTCTCTCTTTCCTTTCTCTTTTACCTCCTCTTTCACCTCTGCCTCCTCCTCCTCCTCTTCTTCCTCCGATCCAGTCAGTCGCCCTCCACCTCTCTCTCCACGGCGGATTCTCTACCTGCCATAAATCCGAGCGCTACCATCTGAGGCTCTAATTGCATTATAAATTGTGTATGCCCCTGTACATCCCGCGGATCGCATAGCGCAGCGCGTTGCACCCGCTCGCCGCTGCGCTCGCGCTGTGTCGAATCAGCGCTTCCAGGATGCCGAGCGGTCATAGCTATCGGAAATCGAACGGATCACGTTCGAACGCGGAAATCGTCCGAGTTTCTCGACCGAAAAATATCGGTTTCAGATGAAAGGACAACGGGGAGTCACGGCGTCTCGGCTATATACTTAACTAGAATCCCGCCTAATCGCCGCTCTTGCTGCGTAAGAATGCGCGCACGGATTTATGCGCAGCGTTACGCTCGCCTTGTCAAGCCGTAACATGAGACAATGATATCCCACAACAACAAAACAAGAACTGTCAAAAGAATCGATGTATTCGCGCAAATTTATCAAGATTGCGTATTACAAGATACTCTTGTGTATCGTAGGATACATTATAGATAGGCACGACACAAATCATTCATGGCATGGCTCAGATCACAAATGTCACAATACGACACTGCATCTCTCCCTCCCTTCCCCTTTCCCTCCCTCGCTCATACATTCATATACTGACAATTCATTAAACCAGTAGTCATTTACATATTAATTTTACTAGCACAAAGATTAATATGTAAATTAGCAGAATGACTGATTTACATCGCTTGGGAGGCAACGTGCGCACGTATCTATATCGCGATGAACGAAAGAAAAGTATTTAACGACAGCGCCCGTCATCCACAAATGATTTATGAAAACGATGTTAAACTATAAAACAAAGTATATACATCGCTGTACGAACGCGACAATGGGAGAACAACGCAAACTAATAAAGCGCAATGCTACTGTCGTAATCAGACAACGTGTTGCAACAGTTCGAAATCGCCGGCAACGATAAGTAGACTATTTTTCAAGTGAATCAGTGTTCCTTAGCTAGAATAGGACGTCAGATAGCAGTGAGAAAAGAGAGAGAAAGATAAATAGAATTACCCAAAGGTGAGCAGAGCAGGGTGATGTCATCTGGTGTGAAACGAGAGCAACTTTAATGATACGTCGTCGGTGATGCGTGGCTTAGCGATTATTCTGGAATAACTAATCGACCCAATCCAACCGCGAATTCCTAGTATCCCATTGAAGAGAACAAAAAGATTCCTGTGCGGCCGCGAGACGGTTTTCTTTGTGTTTATCCTTGAGCTGCCCTCATTTCTATCTCGCGACAGGTGACTTGATCATAAATACGAAATGTCGTTTCGACTCGAGTTATATCCTCAAAAAAAAAAGGATATAGGTCACGTACGTTTAAATATATCAGTTCCTTCACTTTTTCGAGAACTTGAAAGAATTGATATAAATTTAATTTTCTTTTCACAATAAATTAAATATTGCCGATTCATTGCTTGGGAAAAGAAAGTGGGTTAAACCGCTTACAATTAATTATATCTGGCCTTTCAACTGTTTACATCTGGCACTCCTGTGTCGATTCGCTTCGGACTTTAATAAACCTAATATTCTCTCCTCATGGAGATCGTGATTTCAGGCTGCGATGCTCTCGCTCTTTACTCCGCACAAGAGTCGAAAAACCAACCTTCCTGCGCGGAATAATCGCGGTACCGAGAGGTCTCGTCTCGGCACTTCTGAATGAATCCCATTGCCGAGGCGGCGCGGCGCATCTCTGTGCGCTTCTAGTCTGCCTACTCAATAGGCAGATTGTTGGATAAGATCGGGAGACTCTGGACCAGCTCTATAAATCCTCCGCGGGCACAATTATATAGGGGAATGCAGGGATTATTGTTACAGACCGGAGAAAGCCGCAACTTTCGTACGCGCACAACTGTAGGGATTACCCTCATAAATATATTCAAGGACTATTATACGATCCTGAGGATGTTGATAATATAATAATGAGGGCGTAGGCTAATGAGACGCGCGCTGAAAACTCCCGTAATTGCGATTAATCTCGTGACCCTTCATGGCGTCCTTTCTTTTTTCTCTCTTCTCCCTATATCTTTTTCCTTCTTTCTTTTTCTCTCGATATTACTTTCTATTGTACAATTTTTATATAACTTATATATTTTTGTTATTTATATATATGTGTGTCTCATTAATTTCTCAACAAAAAAAATGTTCCTTTATTTCAGCTATTAAATAGTATAATGTATTTACTCTAAGCCATACAAATGGAAATATTTTATTTATTAAAATATTACCCATATTTTCCTTTCGCTTCCGTCCATGACATTTTGCGACTACCGCTTCCATATTTATAATTAATAGCAGTATTATCGTTATTTACATTATATCTCTCTTGGTTACAGTTGACGTAAAGCTCGTAACCCTCCCGCTACTTCTTTCATAAAGATTTCCACATAGTATCCTGTCTCATGTACACTTTGTTACGATACGTTATTTTATCGCCTCTCTTTGATTTTTACAGTGGGCGCTATCGACCTGCTTTTTCGCATAAGCAACATGCAACTGATGCAGTGTTATTTGCATAGATATCACCCACATTTTCCTCTCATTTCCAGCGAGTTGACATTTCGCGAGTGACGCTGCCATCCACCTCGATTATTAGCGACGATATTATCGTTATTACTTTTAACGTAACTATCGTCGACGATACTATTATTACCGTCATTACCACTGGTGTGCCGGTACGTCCGTCTATAATTGTATTTTATCTCCCCTGCTTGAAATCCTCCTTCCAAGGTCGTAATAAACTCTCGACTCGCCATCGTACGCGCGATGCCCGGTTCCTGTGTCTGGCCACCGATATAATGCTACCGTAACGTCCTAGAAGGATCCGCTCCCTTCGCGTCCCTGACCAACTCCCTTTTCTTGTCTACATCCTATCGCGTGCTTCCACCCAGAATACCTGGACGAACGATGAGTAAAAGGCCGCCGCCGCGCGCCGTGCCGTTCCCTTGCTACTTGGAGGAGACACTCGTTTCACTCGAGAGAATCGGACGTGCACACATAAGCGGCCTCGCTTATGCGCATCCGTGCCTCTAATTACCCGAGATGAAGACATCACGGAGAGTCGCCAGAGTCTGCTCCGTGGTCCACTCGCTCGCTCCCGCCAACCAACGCGCCGCCATCAAAGGAACGAACGTTCGTGTAAGTTTTGTTGGCTGATATTTCGCCTGATTATTTATTATCGTTACAAGAGCGCGCGGCCGATCATTATCGCCATGTTTATGGCATAGGTGTGCTCATTACTCCTAATAGCGTCTGTATCCGCGCCATCATTCCTTCCCTTCGTGCACGGATTAAATGCACTGGAATTTTTTTCAATACCGTGACGATTCCCTCATATAAGTTGCTTTATGGATATGTTTTTAACATTTTAGAATATATGGGTACAGATAAAATATATTTAAGGATATATGAGCACAGATGTGACATGTATTTAACGAGCGACTGTCGCTCTTTCTTCACAAAACTTCATATCGCTGAAAACGTTAGTGACAACTAATTATTGTATAAGAAATTATTAATTAATACCGTCAGAAATATTATATAAACGTCCGCTCTATTTATGCTGCTTAATTTGTAACACTTATGTAAATTTATCTTCAAGCGTAATACAACTTTCGAGACAATATTATTTTACAGACAATAAAGTTTATTTTATAGACTTGAAAATATTATCGTTGAGTTTAATGATGGATATGCCGACAAGTTTTTTCATTCGTATAATATCGTTATGGCGGACATAAGGAATATTCAGACAGTAATGTGAAATAATTAATTTTATGTTTTTCGTAGACAGTTAAAATTACCGATCAATTAGTCAACTGACGCACGTAAATGAATGCATATTGACACGCGATCGCGGCATTTTTCTGAAAAAATAATTTCTTGTCTTCAGTAAATAAAATCAATTCCTTCGCGTTTCATTGATTAAACGTTTTTACTGCCTCTCCGAGACAAACACGAGATGCGCGAAAAGAGAAGGCGAAAAATATTTCATTAAACTTCTCTTTAATGCAATAATGCGAGTAAGAAATGATACGTGTCAAGAAGGGCAATGATAAACATGCTGGACATACAACTCACCATTGTGAAGTCTGCTCTTGGAGGTGTGTAGGTGTTCGATAATGGAGATGAGGGGTCTGCGGCCACCACCGCTGCCACCCCCACAACTCCAAGGGGAGTCTCGCTCCGAGCTGTCCGCCAGGTTGTCACGATCCCTAAAAATAAAAAAGAAAAATTACATTAGAGACAATGAGAAATGCATGAAAAGCTACAATAAAGCGAAAATGATAAATAATAAGTGCACTTAAAGTGCTGAGAGTAGCATGAAAAACGAAATATTTCGAGTAAAGCACTTCGTACATGATAAAGATGAGCATGATGATAAAGATGCTATTGCGAAGAATGAGTGATAAATAACTTGATAACTGACAAGTATGAAACATAGATCGTAACGATATATTGATGATTAATTAAAATGTATCACTGACAAGTAAATGAGGAATTAAATAAATAACCATATTAGTGAACACATTACAACGGTGCTACACGCGATCATGTAAAATTATATGTAATTACATTATTACGGAGCTACAAGTCACGTAGTTACGTGAATCACTAATTATAGCATAACTGCCTTACTTTCAATAATTAGAATAATAACGGAGAATAATAATTCTATATACAATGACTAAATCGTTTGCACTATTCTATCAATCGGTATGCTTTCAGCAAAAGTACGTGCTTGCATTATAATTACACAGTAAAAGTATTAAATATATATTATCAATTTACCTCGTTCGTTATAACTTTGAACAGAGAAAACAAAATGTGTTGACAACAATTGCTCATCAATTATCTTATCGGAGCTCAAAATATGTCACGATATCCTGTACCGATAGCGGCTAAGAATTTAACACAGAGTTCATTGTCAGGCATGCAACGCAAAATTAAGCAAACCGTTACGAACCGGTTCGATCCCGTTTGAAAACAGTGCTCATCGATGATCACTCCAACTAATGTCCCGTCGTTCTAGAAATGTCTCACGTATATACATATAATTAGATAACGCAATGACTATGATACACGATGTACGGAGGTATCGCCTATGGGTGGTGTCGTAATAAATTGCGGATTAAACTAAAAACAGATATAATGATCGGTATAATCGCGAGGCGATCGAAGCGGCGTACCCAACGGCTTTCTTCCCGAGAATTTCACGCGCGATTCTTTTTGGCGTTTCGCGTGACAGCCGATAATCACGATTGGCAAAACCTTAATTATTTGCGCTGCGCGCATATGGGGAGAAAAAGTATCGTCCGCCGCCCGCTGTTGAACCCGGATATCTCGCAGGTGCCCATTAAAACCGCGCGTCCGGCAAGTCCGACAGCCTGATAAGCGTTGTAATTAAATCGGCCGATTTCGTAAGAGCAACGAAACGGGAATGCACGAATCATGCCCTCTTCCGCGCGAGCAGTTAAGGACGCGATGGCGAGTTCTGTTTGAGTCCGGACGAGTCAGCAGCTCCGTCAAAGAACCGATCGCCATGTTTCCTGGCTTCCTGAAGAATTCTCGCATATCATGCCAGCCGGTTCACCGCCGTATCGAAGGTGTTGAACGAGTGGCTAACACCTGCGCATTTTCACGAGATGTTTCAACGTAAGAACGACGAGAAAAAAGAGAATAGAGCCCTATTGTACATTCTTTATATTGAATTTTCAAAATAAAAATTATTTATTTATTTTATTTGATATTTTTTTGATCCGATATATATTTTATGTACATATCCATATAATCGCTTTCCGTAAAAAAGATCTCGGATCTTTGCGGAATTGAAGCGATCGTGCCTCGTCAGAGCAAGGTGTCAGAGAGAATCAAGCCTTTAAGCATAGCGGATCAAGATTCCGCGTTTTATTCGGCTTTCCCGCATGCAGTGAGGCAGACTCGACGAGCACGACGCCGATCCGAGGTGAACTTATGGTTAGGTCGGCTTACAACCGGATCGGATCGATTCCCCCATGACACGTATGGCGATGTCGCCCGTGCATTATAGAGCCCGAGTCTCGATCGCTCAGCCGGACGACAAGGCCCAGGCGGACGACGGGTCCCAAGTTTAGAATTCCCGCGGATCGTAATGCCCGGCGACGACGAGAAGAGGTCCGGCGAAACCGTTACCGCGAAGTCGTTAAGCCTCGTCGTTAAGTCGATTATCCGTAGCCCTTGACGACGAAGATCTCGCATCGTGTTTCCTTAGCGTCCACGATCTCACCGAGCCCCGGTCGTGTACTTTTATCGTCCGATAACGTATCGCCATTGAAAGTGTCTCCGTGAGACACTGAGATTTTCCATGACTGCGTTTTATTGATCGTACAACAGAATGGTCACTGATAATATCACGATTTAACATAGTCTTAATCTCTGGACTGTAAAGTTCGTTGATCGTACGTTTATCGACTGTTGACTTCCGGATGATTACCAGCTTACATAGTCGAGACACAATAGTGAATTTCGTTATAGAGATATAGTTCAAAGATGTTTATGGCAAGAAAATTTTTTCACCACATTCAACAACAATAATAAGTAAATCGTATGAATAATTATTCATTTAAAGCTAAAATACGCTCGAAAAATTTACTATCATTGGCAGATAATTTCATTAGTTACCTTGATGATATTAGAAGACTAAAAAAGATTAGAAAGTACTATATAATGCTATTTGATGGAATATTTCTACATGCACCAACAGATGTCAGATTAATCATGGAGTGGTAAATTCTTCCGATGTAACACTAGTAGCTAGAGAATAATTAATTAAGAAGAACGATGACTTAAAACAGGCCATCAGGAGCCGAGTAGTTATCTCTCAAGGGATAAATACTGCAATATATATCCTGTCATAAATTTACGGGAGATACAACGAAAAAGAAGGTGGAAAAGGAAGAAATCAAAGATGGCGCGAACAACCCAAGATGCAGCTTACCACCTGTCTCTTACGGTGCCACTTGAGCTGTAATTGCCGAAGAGAGAACGTCGTAATCATCGTCGTCGTCGTCGACGACGACGATCAGCAGTGGCGACAAGGGTCGACCCTCTTCGAGAAAACTAAGCACTGCAACACAGCGGCCTGCTCTCAAGTGCCATAGAGTGTCATCAGCGGCTTGCAACGTCGCCGACTACAACGGCCAACAGTTTTCGCGTGAAGTCGAAGACAGACACGTAGCACATTTGCCAGTACGAATCGTCGTACTCGATGGACAGAAGTGATTTTTCGAGGTTGTCACTCGTCCGCCGGTGACATCGCTCGGTAATAACGCAAATGAACTACGACGTCGAAAAACACATATCATACTCCGAAATTCTCGAGACAGAATATAGCGGAATAAAACAGCGAAAGAAAAAAATTTTTATTTTTTATATAATGTATATTGTAATATATTTACTAAAAACAATAATTAACATTTTTGTATAGTTTTCTGAATTCTTGCTTCTACTTAAAAATTGAAAAAGAAGATTAATGAAAAGACAATTATCGCTTATTTGGAATAAGTAACAATTAAAATAATTAATTAATTTCAAAATACAATTACTATGTAATTATGGAATAGGAAAACAATACGCATTTTTAGAAATAAACACTCTGAACTCAAAACTTACATTCCATGCCTCCTAAAGGTACCATTCACTAATATTCAGCCGGATGAAATTGTCCATTCTTCCTGTTGGCACGAATGGTGAATATATTTCTTGTTATCACAAAAGCTGAGCTTTATATATTTTAATTAATTAAAACGAACTGTAACGAGCGACAGGTCTTTGTTCCTGGAGAACTCCTGAAGAGTACCTCAACATTCAGATTCCTCGAACGCAGTGGGAACAGTGCGGTTTTGAATAAATACACCTTCCTCGAATAAGTAACCAACAGAGCTCCCGCTGGTAAAGGCTGTAAGCTACATCGAGATCAGCGTGGTTCAGCAGGATAGACAAATCCCAGAGTGAATCCCCATTGTGTGACAGAGAGTTAGAATCGCGCGTCTACAACTGATTAAATACGGCTAATGAGAATGTTGTATGTAAGCTTTTCGTAAAACAAAAATAACAGTCGAATATAGAAATTTTCTTTAAATTACTTTAAACAAATATTAAAATAGAATTTCTTAGTGTTTAATTTCGTGAAAACATCTTTTCATGTCTCAATTCCAATTTAAGTGAATTATACTTTATCACAGAATTCTTGCATAAATATTTTTGATAATTCCTGTGTTAAAGCAAATACGTGACAACATAATTGTTACAGGAAAATATCGCGAGAATGAATCAATAGAAGCTAAAACGTAAAAGAAAATTTGGAAGAATAGTTTCTTACAACGTACCGCATTGAGGCGAAATCGCAACAAGCCACGCAATAAAATACTTCACGTACGACTAGACGTGAGAAATAAATACGAACCGGCGGATTGCATCCATCACGACCACCCGAGGCTACACGCTGCAATTTCGTAACGTCTAATTAATCCTATACGCACAGGCGCAACAAACTGCCTCCGCCATCGCATAAACTATACCACCCGCGCACCCCGTGATCGCGATCAGTCGCACCATAAAGACAAAAGCGGCCGTTTCGAATCCGCCGAGCGATCGACCGCACACAATCCGGCCGTAAATCGCGTTCGTACTGTTGGTACGATACGTAGCGAGTAGCTAGGAACGATTAGCGGCCCAAGCACTCGCGGGTGCGCGCCCGTTGCGGCACCGTGTAACCGATGGAACCTTTCCGCGAAACTTCCACTTGATGCTGGGATCAATTCAGTACCTCATTGACTTTTATATATTCAATTGCGCGAATCCATTAAACAATTTCAAATTCAATCTATCAATATTTATTCTGAAGAAATGAATAAATGTCAAAATACGCCACGCAATGCATACTTATATTCAAATAATATGTTTGAGTGATTATTTAACATCATAATAGTTAAATGTTTGAGAATGATATTTAATGTTATTAAAATAACGATTTCTCACATCCCTGTTCGCGAGTGAGTGATTGAAGTAATGATTTGAAATAAGCAATTTTAATTGTAATTTATGGTATGATTACATCATTGTCTTTATACAAAATTATTTATGCTATGTGCAACAAATCAAATAAGTGCGTGATACAAGATGAATAATTCTGTGCTGAATACAAATATCAATCTCACGCAAAATGAGACAACTT